AAGGGCTACAATGTTTCTTGTTGCATCCACAATACAGACACAACAAAAGAATTTACGCCACAGACTATAGTAACTGCATGTGAACATGGAAATAAAACCCTTTTTACACAACTGTGTTTCAAAATCATGCATTTACCTGCTGTGTTTTTAGGTGCTTAAAGCTAACCTGCCAAGCAAAAGCCAGTACTGACCATTCAGTTATCTAGTGTGTACAAAAGGTCTTTCAAATGCAATATATACCATAGAGTGCAACTTAGTATCTACCTCACAGGATTATTATGAAGCATAATTAATGCCTGTAGTGCTTTAATATAATTTAATTATTCTTCTATGGATTTAGACCCCAGAGAATTCAGCGTTATACAGTACCCTGGCTGCCTCACTGATTCCTGCACTAACGTGCATTTGGCCAAATACTTTTCTTCTTGGCTTTATTCAAGCACACAGGGATCCAAAAAAAGTAAAGCTATTCTGAAAACTCCTTTAAGCGTCCCAAATTCTAGGCCTCATGACAGATATGTCAGAGCCTTCCCAGGATTATTGCTGAGCTAAAGCATTTCCAAACAGTCACTCTCTGAACATGAGCAAGTGAAGCCCAGCAGTCTTCTGGCTCGTGCCTTCATCTCTTCCCCCTCCCTCCTCATCCTTCCTTTACCACATTCAGTGCCAAGATTTGTAAGGTGGCAATAAAAAACCAACAGATGGGCCAAACACCAGCTGACAAAGAGGCAGGGAGATGGTTTCCTAACAGTTGGCTCCTGCCCACTGCCATGTTTGCTTTACCTCTCAGTTTGTGGACAAAAAATTACCTCCAATTTTCTTGTAAATTCTTGAGGATATAAATTAACAGGAAAAAAAAAAAAGAGTAGGAACATTAGGGCGATGTTTCTCATTCACAAATCCAAACAAACCTAAGGCATCACAATGTAAAAATAATCCTATTTATGGTAGTGATTTTAAGTTTAAGGCACAACAGGATGAGCTGTAACGACTGGCTCTGTAACGGGCTTCCTGCACTTCCCTATGCAAGTCAGTGTATTTCTTCCTGGCTCAAAGTTTTTGTCTGATACACTTTTCAAGGTTTCTCTGTTTACATTGTAAATTATCTGGGGAAAAAAAAAACATTTTATTTGTATTTGTATATTTATCCCCATATTTGTATGGGGTCTGCTTTACAAAGGTCACTAGTTGCGACCATGATACTAATTAATAACAAAAAGTACAATCTAAATTTTAGCACAGCACATCTGCTGTTAACACAGTATTTCCTTCACTTGCTGACTCTGCTGTTTGTGCTCCGGCAGGCGCTTTAAAGACGGTCTGCTCTGCAAACACACACAGGACAGAAAGATGCATTGCTAGGTGTAGATATATTTACTGTCAGGAAACAATGAGTTTGTGATAAAGACATAGTATATGACTGTAAACATTAAGCAGTATTTTCAACTGAGTTGCTCCTAATCATGAAAAATGTACACTGGCCTTATTCTACCATCTGTACACTTTTAAAATGTTAGGGGCAAGGAGATCAAACAATGATTTTTCCATCTTGCAGTTTTCTTGCAAGACGTGCAAAGTGCCTTTTGCTCTAGTGCCACGCACAGAATTGTTCGTTACCGCAGCGTTTCACGTCAGACTTAAGGGACTGAACTGTGAATTCCTAAACCTAGAAAAATATTATCAGATTCTGTGCAGCCCAAAGCAGTTCTTAGGCCCCTCGACATTGATGAGACCTGCACATCGGTGCTCTGGCAGAGGAGGGATGGAGACGGACCCCGAGAGATAAGTGGCTTCTGCCGCGAGCACCATGAGCCTCGGAGGAGGAGGCCTGCGAGAAAAGCAGGGGCCACAGGTCAGGAGGAAACTGCAGGTCCCACCTCTCCCGCCTGCCCAGAGCTGCCCGGGCCAGCCGGGGGGACGGCGCGCACGGCCGCGCGGTGCCGGCTGCGTTCCCACCGCTCGCTGATCCGACTGCGAGCGGCAGAAGAGCATTTGCAACAGTGTTAAAGTTGCACTGGTGTAAGACAGCAAGGGATATGGGAAGTCACTAGGATTATGGTATGTGGCTTTATAACTATGGCTAGTAAAATTAGCATTTTCTCCCCCTTGTTCAAACTGTACTCTATCCCTCAATACTTTTTATATGGCTGACAACATAGCAAACTTACCTGGGGAAAACATAACCTCATAAAATAAAAGTGTCATCCTCTGAGACTTGATGTCAAATGAATGAATATTCATTCAAATAAGCATCTGTTTAGAGCCACAAGTTGCTTTAGCAAATCTGTTAATAAAGTACAAAAGGCTCGGGAAAAAAATCTAGGCTGACTTTTCAATTAACCTCTGTTAAGCGGGCTTTGTTTATTTTCACTCTGCATCCTAAAAGCCACAAGGAAGCCAACACATACTAGCTCCTCTGGTGAGCAACCCTTAACCAGCCTACTTACATTCCCTCTGCAGCCGCATACCCTGCTAATCAGGGGTTTTCCGGGTGCCTCTGTTAATCTTCACTGGGAGCAAAATAAAAACTGAAGCAGTTAAACTTCTGAAGCTCCAGCAGGCCTCTTCTTAAACATGAGCAACAGACTAGCAAAAAAGATAGGCAGAAGCTCCCAGTGCTGACTAACAGGTTTTTGATGTTGCCATGCTTCTCTCACTAATTACGCCCAGGCTGCTCAGCGCACCAGGCAGGGTTCACGTTCCGCGCCGTGCACGTCAGGGCATGGTGCCGGCTGCGGCCGCGTGGGAACTCGGCTGCTTCAGCAAAGAAACCTGGGGTGTCCCCCCACCGCCTCCTGCAGCGAAGCCCCCGCAGACTTGGAGCCAGCTTCAGCTCCCCAGAAACCTGTCACCCCCATGCCGACCGTTCAGCCCCTCTGGGCACAACACATCCCTTTGGCCCCTGGCTTGCACTAGACCTCAGGAAATCGGTAGTTCTAAGTCACGAGGCTGGAGTTAAGGGCAGCCCGGGCTGGAAGCTGTGCGGGAAGGCCCTGGCACTGGACAGCAGCGCTCACCAGAGCCCTCGTGTCCATCGCTGCCTGGTGCCTTTCCATGGGCCATTCCAATCACCGCTGGCTCCTTCCCTGCTCGAGTCGGTGTCGCACAACCCTGTCTGGCTTCCACAACGGGATAAATGTAGCTACCATCCCATGGGCTCGTCAACACAGATCCGAATGCGGTACCAGGTTGTGCACGGCTGCCTGTGTGGGTAGGGACCCGCTGCAGCCTCGAAGGCCGGGCTCCCACTGAGTCAACATGGCCAAACCCGGGCGGTTGGCACCAACCAGGCAGAGAGGTTTCTGGAAGGCAGAGGCAGAGAGAAGCAGCACAAGGCAACGCATGGCAGGAGCGCTGCGCGCCGAGGCCTCGC